GGAAGTTTACAATTATACTAGGAAGTGTATGAATATCTCGAGGAACTTGATGAAATGAATTGGTCAGCCCGAGGTAATGTATTGAATCAATATTTGAGCAACACTTCAATTGGAACGACCATAATAAAGTTCGTGCAGTTAGGGACATTTTTAAATGCATCTGCCGGTTGAGAAGCACAAAATAATAGTAAAAATTTTCCAATTAAAATACAATCATCAATGATAATCTCACAACACTCGATGATCTCACGACAAACCATGATCTCACAACAATCTATTTTTACATTCGCGTTTTCTTTTTACATTCGGTCGCATTATCTCGCTATCTGATCTCTCTGGACTAAATTAGATTCTTTGAAGAGCAATACATGTGAAATGTAGCTGAAGGCCATGCACCAGTGATATTTGAGGAGAAAGCAGTACGTACTCCAGCCTTGACGACATCTTTGGGAATATATACAACACGCAATATAAACCCAATGTCTTTTTCGCAGTTGATCTAGTAAGAATGCCGAGAGAGCACTTTCCTTGTGATAGTAAATCCTAGTCTAGCTCTATTTTGTGCATATCAGTATGTATTTCATATAATACTCACCATCCCATGATCTCATGACAATCTTGCTTGCTGAGGAAGGATACGACCTTGGTCTGATCTTTGGAACAAGCAGGAATTGAAACTTTACACACTGCGTCAGCAACATTCTTTTCACATTCAGCATCAGATATGTTGGAATTCTTCAACATCCTATGAGCAGATGCGATCCTGGCCACTGCCGGGTTCAACCGTGCCACATTTCCACCATATACCTACAAAAATAACATTTTTAAGACTTGCCTAGGATGAGTATTCAGCGAGTTGAAACAGTGGATTAGGAGGGCAGGAGTGGGCAGTCTATTTTATTCCTAGTTTGAGAAATTCATTATGACCAAATTTGCTCCAAACATTTGCTCAAATACACGACACTGACGACTTTTAAGTTCATTTAGGCTTGTCATGGCGACAAACCATCTTCATCCCCAGGTCCTCTCGGTCCTATACACGGAACTGGAAGTGCAAGAAAACATGCAGTATGCAATTATGTCTGCTCCCAAAACAACTTGTTTTCCCCTTAGTTTTTTCTTCCCTGTCAGGTTCTTTTCGTAAACTGGATAACACATTCATTTTTCACTTGTTGCTCAGCGGGGTACATTGCATTTATCTAAATTGATGTGACCACGAATCATACAATCACATTTATTTAAAGCATGCATTAACTATATATTGAATTTTCTGTGTTGGTGTAATGTACTCAGGTGAATACATGTTTGTAATGTTACATGTTAGTGTGGGCTAGTATTCCAAAGGTCGTAGGTTCGATTCCCACCGTGGTCAGGCATATTTTTCAAGCTTGCCCGGTGTGGATATACACTCAGAGTAACATCACAAACAACTATATATTATAGTGTAACAGAATATAATGGGGGACACTGGGGTGGCAAAACTTGCCTGTATAGACCGAGAACTTGAACATAGAACTTGCCATGCATAGAAAATTTTTTCTGCATGTAAAAATTAATGTTATTACAAATCAAAAGCTGTACCAAATAAAGGGTAAAATAAGATTAAGATTAATGCGATTAAGATTAAAGATTATTAAAGATTAAGTTAATACGAAAGGAAAAGGAACTGTTTATAATTACAGAGTCTATGTCAAATCTCCATTTCTGCATTTTTTTGTAGCTTTTATACAAGGAAATGTCATCGTCATCCGACATCGTCTCTCTTCAGCATATATTACAAATATTCCAATAATATTTGTAACTGTATATACAGCGATATTGTATAGTTATATTTAGTATGACTGGTAATTATGTTTGAAATTATGCGAAAGATGGCAAGCCGACAAATCTCAATTCCGATGGGGTGTTTATATGAATTAAGACCTGTCCCCTCCTAGTCGAAATCCCGAATACTGACTGGAAATTTAATTGTATGTTGCAATGTTGGTTTATTATACTCATTATAGATTAGTCGAAAATATATACTCGGCAAAATGTAATTTTGGACTTCGTATAAATGGTTGAAGGGAAGTCATTTTAAATCATTTTTGTTTGCAAAGGGAATTTATTTTTTCTGTGTAAACACGAGGTAAAAACCCGTAGCCCTTACATATTACATCTTGCGCTCATGCGAACACCCTCTAAGGGACGGACCATTATTTTTTTGGAGGGAGGGATGGAAAATTCTTAAAAAAATTGTTTGCAAAGACAAAACATTGCAAATAAATTGTTTGCACACATAAAGAAGAGGAAAAAATAGTTTTCAAGCTAATGAGATTATGCAACATCAACTAAAGTTCAATACAATGAACAGAGCGCTCACCGACATACCCAGGGTCTTCACCCCAAAAGCCCTGGGATGGGAGACGCTGGGCATATGCCACAATCTACATATGGGTTATAAATATTAATCTATTGAATACAGTCATTTTGGGGGTTATTTTTTTCTGTATAAAATAGGTAATTGGACAAGTACTGGTGTAAGACATTGTGTGGCGTAAATAATGAGAGGACCAGTATCGAGGCCTTTTTTTAACATACAAGCCGGGGGGGCGGTGGCTAATGTTCCCACATGCCCCCCACAAAATCACATCCCCTCCCAGGAAAAGTCCCTTTTAGGCTTTGTCCTTTGTCCTTGTTTAACAAAATCGATTTAAATTGTTATGATTTTCTACCACTAAGTAATGATAAATTATTGTTAATAATTTTGTGTGCGTTTTTTCCTTCTTTTATTTCAAAAACAAGTATACTTAGCATAAATTTTAGAGCAAATTTAAATGCTCAGAATGCAGGAAATGGTATTTCTGGGCTTCAAAATTCAAACATTTTCTGGGGGAATACGCCCCTATACCCTGTGGCCTTCAGCCATTCCTATCCCCTTCTAATATATTATCTCACAGAAGATCCCTTTTCAAAAAATGCCCCCCTCCCCCACAGGAAAATACTTAAAAAGGCCCTGACCAGTATACCCTAAAAAAACTATTAAATGTCTGTTTACATATTAAATTTATTCTTCTGACAACACCACATTTTGTTTGATCACACATGCAATAGTGTAATCGGGCACAAATTAAACTATATATATATATCAATTTATAATGAAATCCACAGCGATCAGATGGACAAAATAAATTGTTTGCAGAAGGAAGCAGGCGCAAAAAAATTGTTTGCAACGACAACACCAAAAAAAATTGTTTGCGTTGACGAAATGTCCATCCCCTACAAAAAAATAATGGTCCGTCCCTAAGCGCAAATTACAAAAACAGCATCACGTTCTAAATATAGTAACAAGCTATAAATATAATACCTTGTACAAAATATTATAACTGTACAAATATTGAATAAAATGTGAGAAATTATACATCAATATGACTTGAAAACCGCAGAGTTCAAAAGAATAACTATGCATCAAAAACTACACTGCATCAAAAATCAACCTTTTAGTATTTGAGAAATATGTTTTGTAGCGGTTGAGGTCGCGACGATTATTAAATAAAAAAGTGCAATAATTGTCAAAATCCACAGTAATAAACATATTTGGAAACTTTGGAAATTGGAATGTACTCTAGCGAAAACCTTAACACAATCTCCAACGTTAAAGTAACACAAATAAAGTTTGTAGACCAAATAAAAATTATATTGATCGGATAAACACAAAAATTGAAAAAGATATAACAGAAATTCACATGCAAAATTTGTAGCGCGAGACACCGATTTCAAAATATTTTAGTATTGGCAACAACGATATTAAAACCGATACGTAAATTATGAACTGCATGTAGAATAAAAAGTCGTTTGATTAAAACTGACAGACAACAAACAAAACAGTACTATGTCACGCTTGCTTACATATAGTAACAAACTAGGTTCAATTCCTGCCAGAAGGTGAGAAGGCCTATAGTTGTATTTTTCGCAATTGCTCCTGGGTAAGTCTAATAAATGTATAAAATTTACACTACATGTTACGCTGTATGAATTTCTACCTTGTAATTTCGTCGACATATAAACGAATCGTTGGCGATTGTTGCCGGAAAGTCGCTGCATGTTATTCTCCTCTTTATTCGACGGATACGAACAATACTGCATTTGAACAAAGAAGTCAAAGAATCGAAACTTTTCATATCGGGAAAGCTGGGCCTTCCTCCGAAACCTGGTGTGGGCCTTCCTCCAAAGTTTCTGAAACCTGGTGTAGGCCTTCCTCCAAAGTCTCTGAAACCTGGTGTGGCCTGAGTTTTACAGTTCTTTTTAGCTTCTTCACATTTTGATTTCAGGCCATCCGTGTCTATGTCTATGTAGTCCGTATCATCGGCACAGCGATATTTGAAGGTCGAAGCGCAGAAATAGTTCAATCCAATGCTCTTACACTGTTTGCTACCGCTTGCTAAGCTCAAAAGACCGTTTGTGATAGATTGAAGATCTATTACAGTATCTTCTTGCTTGATATCCAGCTCGTTCCACTCATCGTTTTTAACTTCTCACCAATCCGGAACTTTATGGCCGATTTTTGAACTACAATCGCCCTGTTCATCAACGCAAGGTATATATGGATAACTTTCCTTGATATAGCCGTTGTTTTGGGACAACACCTGTCCCACGGTGAACAAGAGTACTATATGTTGAAGTATGGCACTCGTAGCGAACATTTTTGACACTGTTTTATGCACTACCTTACTCGTTGACGAACAAGCGCAAAAAGAGAGAGATTGTCACATTCTTGTTGTTTTTGTACTTTGAATGGCCACGCCTAAACACCAAATATGTGAAATCACGTGCTCAAAATAACGCCCTGCGCTTCCCGCGATAATCTCCTGTTAAGAAAAGGATAAACTCGTTCGGTCAGATCTCACTAAAAGAAATTTCCCGCATAAATATTTCCTGATAATTTCTAAATTACCAAATTCCTCTTAAGGCCTAATTCCACGACGAGCGAAATGCGAAAAATTTCGCGCGAAAAGGTTGAACGCATGCGCAACATGATTTTAGAATGTTTCTCAGCGAAATATTTCTCTTCGCCGGGTAGTTGAATTGGTTTCTACTCCGTTGCGAAATGGAAATAGCGAAACCAATCAAATGCTTGTGTTATGGATGACAAAATAGCGAAACCAATCAAATGCTTGTGTTTTGGCGAATTTTTTCTCTACTGTGAAAATCACTACGAGAGAAAATTTTCGCACAAGTGTGTTTTCGCGCGAAATATTTCTCATTTCGCTAGTCGTGGAATTAGGCCTTTAGGGGCGGACCATTCGAAAAGTGATGCGCGCGGGGGGGAACAAAAAATCTCGTAAAGGAAAAAAATTCGTGCAAAGAGGGAAAGCAAACAAAAATTCCTTTAAAATTCCACAAAAATATTCCAGTACAAGCAGACGGCCGAAAAAAATTTCGTGTAAGCTGAAAATCCCCCCTCCCATCACTTTTATTATGGAATTCCATATTTTGGTATGGAATTTGGTAGTCCGAATTTACGATATGGCTTATAACACAACATTTATGCGGTGGCCCTGGCAGTTTTTGCATATGAATATTTTTGGTAGGTCATGTGGTTGTCATGGCAACACACTAGTCCCCAGTCTCTTCTCTTCCTTTCACAACTTTCCTCCCGTAGACCTCTTGCAGAGGATGTTTACATATTATAACGGTTTAAACTGATCACAATACCTACACGTATTATAGTAATAAGCGGAAATTGCTATTTATTTCGTTGGAAATGGATCATATAGAAATTGGAAGAGAAGGGACTGGGGACGAGTGTGTTGCCATAACAACCATATAAACAAGCCAAATTGTTGACTTTGTTGCACCCACTAAGTGTACCAAGTTTCACTGAATTTTATTAAATACTCACCAAGATATCATACTTTCTTATTATTGCGATTATCTCAACTCGTACTTGTGACGTCACAACTCAAAATATAGAAAGTGCGATAACTTGAGAATGAGATGAGATATGACGAAACTGTAAACGTCATTCTTCATCACTCCAGCAGTACTTTTTAGAAAAACAATAAAAAATGAGGTGAAAATTTCGTTGCATAGGCACTTTACCTGAAATTATTATTATGATGATATTATTTATTATCAAATGAATAAGTTTAATACAATAAGTTTAGTTTTGAAAATTTACCGCCAAAATCGTTTGCAATTTGCGAACTGCTTACGAACTTGGTTCGGAATTTCATATCGAATTTCGATGATTTGATGCAAACTTCCGAATTTGATTGGCCGGTTTCCAATCAACTTGATGATCTCGTGTTTATAGGTCTTTATAGTTCCCAAATTCCCAACCAACCTCGCAATTGGCGTGGCCAAAGTTTCGTGAAATCAACTGTAATACAATGGCAATTGCTAGATAGTATACTTCAAAATAAGGTTTCCGTTTTTATATCAATTTTTAAAATAATTAAAATAAGTTAGGGTTAGGTTAGGGTTTAGGTTAGGGTTAGGTTAGGGTTAGGGTGAGGGTTAGTATTAGGGTTAGGGCTTAGTTTTGCGTTAGGATAGTTTTTTTCTACGTTATAAAAACGGAAACCTTATTTTGAAGTATACTATCTAGCGATCACCGTAATACAATATGGCGTCTCATACTGTTTGTTGCGAACAGTGACGTAATGTATATTTATTTATGTAATATTTAATTATGCTAATATCGGACGTATTATAATATTTGTTGTTAAAGGCACAGTTCAGCCTTTTGAATGATGATATTTAATGCGCATTTCAGCCCTTTTAATTGAAAAAACTACCTAGGAAAATCAATTAGTATAGGTAATCACACGGGAAGGAGTGCAATTAATGATTAACACTACGAGTGATATTTGAAAAATGTGCCAAAATTGCACGAGCCGCCGAGGCGAGTGCAATTTAGCACATTTTTCAAATATCACGAGTAGTGTTAATCATTAATTGCACGACTTGCCCGTGTGATTATTTATTTATTATATGCATGACAAAATCGCTTTCTTTATATTTCAACTGCATTTTGTCAAGAGTTTTTAATTCTTTTGTAAGGAATTTGGTATAAACAAACTTGGGAAATGATTATAAACTCATAAAGGCACATAACTTAAACTATCTTAAAAAAAATCTTTATAAATTGTATTTCAAACTTACATAGTCACGTTTCGCTGCATCCCGCCAAGATTATTTCTTAAGACTGTTTCCAGGTATTTTCAACAGGCTCTTTTTGCCATACAATGTTTCTTAAGCTCACTCTTGTGCCAAAATTCAGTTAAATTCGTCCACATTTGTTAGAAATACTTATCTAAATTTCGCCGCCATATTGGATTTTGTTGTTTTGATTTCCCGCTCCCCCCAGCCATCACGAAAATCATTAATTGCACTCCTGGAGAGTGCAATTAACGAAATAATTGCACTCCTCTTAACCAATCAGATTGTAGTAATTTTGTCATGTATATAATAAAGCATAATTAATGTTTTTAACATTTTAAACATTTTTATTGTTAAAATCATTGAGTTTACTGATCTTGAATTATGTATAATTGATTTCCTAGTTAGTTTTTTCAATTAAAAGGGCTGAAATTCGCCTTAAAAACCATCATTCAAAAGGCTGAACTGTGCCTTTAAAGAGGATTGTAAGTTACTAGGAAAGAACACGTACCATTATGCTTTATTTACATTAGTAAAATACAGTAAAGTATAAGGAACTGCCTTATACTAGCAAACGTTATTTCATTATACTTTTTTATACACACCCCAGTGTATCAGGTATATGCCACAATTTGTTCCAAATTTGCATATTGTACGGGTTTTCACTGCGGTGCAAACACAACGAGTGTATGTATAATTTACTGCGTCAAATTTACTTCTACAATTCTATTTTACCTGTCTAATCTAACTGATACAAACAGCTAGTACACATTGCTTTTAGACGTAAGTAATTGGCTTTCATCCGTTATATTTTGACCATATTCACTCATATATTGTCGCGACATTTTATGTTTCTGGTGAACCCATTAACTGTGGCTCATTTATATTTATCGCGCTTTCGAGTTTCGTGACTATGACCACATCGGTTGACTGCATCGAAGCAGCTTCTTTTATAACCTATTTAAATAACGAATTTGGAATAAAAATTGCACCATATTCAAACAAGTGCATGATAAACGAAATTAGAGTAGCTATTATACATATTCCATTCTCTTGGCTCGCGCAGACAAAAGGTTTGTCGTCGACAAGTATTTGTATATTCTGGAATTGCAACGAAACCAATTTCGTCGGTAGTAACCGTGGTCTTACAGGTATAAAATGAAGTGAAATGTCTTTCTCTGTATCTGTGATATTAGAACAACCGCCTACTACACATCTATTCGGCAATTTTTCATTTTCGTGACTTTTTTTTGCGCTATTGCCTCCTCTATATGATGGTACATGCAATAGTATGTCAATATTAGTGAGCTAGACGAATTCCTGCTATTACATCGCACGCATTGTTTCGTCCCAGTCTCTTTTGCGCGGTTTTCAAATTTTTCACAAGGCCGAATTCAATGTTTAAACGGCAATAACTTTTACACTAAAAAAGAAATTTCGATTCTGTTTTCGAATTTCCATATATTTTGTATCGTAGATTTCGAAAATATAAACTCTCATTTTGTGACAGGGACACTTTAAAAAACTGTTTTTGTAGCCATAGCCCTTCTAGCCCATTTAAACCATGCGAGGCTCAATCTTGTGTTGTGAATACAGACTTGCAGTGCCCGGCATATAACACAATGATTTTTTGTTGAATTTGAAACCATTTTAGTCTTTTTTGTACAATATGAACTGCTAACTCTGTCAGTGCCGGTAAACAGTATATAAGGATATTAACTTCTACTCGGGTGAATACTTGTTAACTATTAGTTATTTCTCAGTTACTTCAGGCTCTGTACAAAGGTTTATTTCGACATCGGCTTTGAAATCATTTCTGGGTTCTGTCATTAGACATTATGTTATAAATTTGTACTGTCTAATCTTATGAAAAACAATTTTAACCCACCTTGTAGTTATCCTCGCAAGAATAAGTGTCATTTTTGACAACAGGGAAAACATTGCAAGTCAACTTTAGCAGGAATTTGTGCGGCAGGTCAAAAATATTCGCGTAACGAGAGCAATTTAACAACGAATCCCGAAGAATCAGGTCAGAACCAGAACTAGAACAGTTCTTCTTGGCTTCGTCGCACGTAGCTGCTATCTCCTTGCCATCAACCTCGACATATGGGTCTTTACAACGAAATGGGTACGCTGCTTTACAAAATAATTTTGTCACGTCCTTACTGCATTTCTCACTCCCGGAATGAAAATCACTTATCACCGAAAGTATTATTTTCCAGGTTTCTGAAAGGTCGGGGATGCTTGGGTAGTAGTTGCTGAAATCTGGTATCTTATAGCCTAACGAACCCGAACACGCAGAAATGACGCTCGATGGATCTTTACATGGCTCAACCATGACGTAACCGTTTTCTGCCGCCAAGCCCAAGGTCGTCTCAACCGCGAAGCAAACGTAAAGCAGTAGCACTGAACTCATGGTTAAATACATATTTGTGTTGAAATGGTCGATATGCACTCTGAGGAGACTTTGGAACGTCTGAATCGAAAACGCAACTGCACTCAATCACGCTTCTATACTTATATTGTCCGTAATGTGGTTATAATTATACGTCATGGTCTGCATGCATAATTACGATATTAATCATATAGATCGCAATGGCTAATGATGAGGGCAAATTTACTTGTGCCTGATTGGCTAAGACTACTCTGGTTGCCAGAGGTTCTCGTATCTTCCGCCCTATTCTCGCTCGTATTTATTTCACGCGGGGCGAAGAAAACCTCTGTTGGCACGCGATATAAATATCACTTTCATCTTCAGTTATAGGTAGAGAACTTGTAAAACTGTTTTCAAATTTCGGTGACGTAATATTGAACTTCCGGTCGGCATTATGGAACATAGGCGAAGACATGCGGACATACGAGGTTCAAGAACTTGAATTAACAAGTAATCGTATAGTTCCTCGTAAATTTAAGGTTTAATTTCACTTGTGAAACTTTGAAAACACGCGTGAAATTAAATCGTAATTTTACTCGGCTCTTTGCGATTATACCTATACAAATATGATTAATCATGTGTTAATCATATTCCCACTCTATTTCCGTGGAGCTTATTCTGGACTGGGGGCTAATGAGAGGCTGGAAGAATATCGAAGTGAAACAAAAAAATAAATACCCTCACAAGTATACGTGCCACTGTGAATCAACAATTAATCTACATGATATATAACACAACAACCTTTAAATATCATATAAACAAAACTAATATCAATCCATGCAGATAAAACTACGACTATAACTCGATAATGCATTAATTGTTCATGCAAACTAATATCAATCCATGCAGATAAACTGCAACTATAACTCGATAATGTAATAACAGTCCATACAAACTAATATCAATCCATGCAGATAAACTATAACTCGATAATGTATCAACAGTCCATGCAAACTAATATCAATCCATGCAGATAAACTACAACTATAACTCGATAATGCATTAATTGTTCATGCAAACTAATATCAATCCATGCAGATAAACTACAACTATAAGTCGATAATATATTAACAGTCCATGCAAACTAATATCAATCCATGCAGATAAACTATAACTCAATAATGTGTCAACAGTCCATGCAAACTAATATCAATCCATGCAGATAAACTATAACTCGATAATGTATTAACAGTCCATGCAAACTAATATCAATCCATGCAGATAAACTATAACTCGATAATGTATTAACAGTCCATAATGTTCAATACCTGCTTCGACGTGACGTTTTTCATGAAGGTAGCAGCTACAACTATAACAGAATGTATCTTCTTATATTATGCAAGATGAAAGTCTTGTTTAAAAGACTCTCTTTACAAAACTAAAATGAGAAGTCTGACAGTTTCATCTGTCATAGACATAAAACTTATCCAGAAACGACTGAAGTCGAAACTAATAGTGTGCATGGTCTTATGTAAAGGCTGTTTTCCACTCATCTCAAGAGTCAACTTGCTGCGAGTACGGTTATCCGATCACAATTCACAATGCTCGACCAGTGTATTTTAATTAGATGCAAGCACTCGCTGCGAGCTTCCGAGTTAGTTTTGGAAACGAGCCTTTAGGCCCGTTTACATATGCAATTTTTGCTGCGATTTCTGGTGGTATTTTCTCCTGATGGATGGGAAGGAGTGGTTTGGGTTGTGAATGTTCCGAGTATGTGTACCCTCATCTGAATTACAACTTCTCCACTCGTTCACATACACCAGAAGAACAAAATCGCACCCAAAATTAATCGCAGCAAAAGTTGCAAAGATAAACGGTCCGTTAAATTACAGTTCAGAGAAACTTGGTCATGCTCAAAAACGTGTTTAGCCTCTTTACAATCTTCTGCCTAACTGCTCTCCTGGCTACCTGCTACTCTTCATGAAAAACGTTTATTCTATAAACCTAAAAGAAACTTAGACTGACAAGGCTGGCAATGAACAAACTGCTGAATGCCATGGCGTGACCAGCTGCTTTATTGTCGTAGACATTATCCAGGGAGTATTTCTTTGCTGTTGTACCATCTGGCAAGCCATCACATAAACCGTGGGTTCCTTGTATCAAGTTGGCATCATTTGTTTTGTTGACACTACATTTGGAAGAAAAGAACTACAAGTTATGACACAATGCAGTAAAAACCCGCATAAAAGAACCAGTGGAGCAAACCAGCCAAAAATGAGACTGGTTCATAAAAAATCCTATAGTTTTTATGCTTTAGCTGAAGTAGAAAGCATGTTCTAAGGGCAGGTATAGACTGGAACATACTTGAAAGGTTTCTGTAAGTGAAAATTCCGAGTATAAATTTTTTACCGATTTTTAGCCCTAACCGTCCCTGCGATTCTGGTGCAGCGCTCCAACCAACTGAGTTCAGTTCCAAGTATGTACACAGCCACCGGTTTTTGTGCGAGCTGTTAGAATTAACCATAGAAATGATATTATATCAAAAAATGTTTCAACATATTTCTCAAGTTTCATGTGAAGATAGCAGGCATCATTACAATGCGCGCGAGAGTGTGATTGCTGCTGGCAGGCACTTTTTGAACTTATGCAGGCACATGTTAAAATCTCGTTATAACAGTAGCTCTCAAAGCCTAAAATACGATGCATTTTTGCAGGCACTTTCTGAAGTTATGAATTGTGCTTGCAGACACTAGTACTATGTGATATTATTGAGCCCTGAACTAGGAATGGAACTCACCATCCGACGATCTCGCGACAATCTTGTTTGCTGAGGAGAGATACGATCTTGGTCTGATCTTTGGAACAAGCAGGAATTGCAACTTTACACACTACGTCAGCAACATTCTTTTCACATTCAGCATCAGATATTTTGGCACTCTTCAACATTCTATGCAAAAATGCGATCATGTCCGCTGCCAGGTTCAACTGTGTCACATTTCCACCTGCAGATACCTAGAAAAATAGGAATTATTGTCATACCACTAAAGATTTTATTGCTTAGATAGACGAAATAAGACGAGTAATTTCTCTGGAATTTGCTTGTCACATGAATGCATAAGGAAACGAATAGGAGTGGTGATATATGACATAGCAGAATGCTCATTTGGTCCATTTGCAAGATTACCTTCTAATTTGTCATCGATTTATTAAAGCGGCAGGTACCTTATGCAATACGCACATTGCATGAATTATTCTAGCCTGCGTAGCTGATTTCCCGCGTCTCGTCTCCGTAATTTTCCGCTGCCCGCGCTTTAACCGCATCCTTTAAAATCGCCAGCTATGCACAGGCTCAAGCCCAGAAAACAGATAAGCTCACTGTAACAATATATTACATCTGCCCTTAATATATACTTGTATTTTCCAAGTGGTATTTGGTTTTTGTTTTAGCTTTAACGCGCGTCTCTACACGAATGCTTATATAACTACATTTATATATTATAGATTCTTAAATTTAAATCTATATATTAATATTTATTTAAAAAAATTCCTGGTTTCTGATAGGCTAACAGCCAACTGAAATTCTCATATCAACTCAATGGCTAACCAAATATGGAATTTTTTACATTCATATTAGCAAAATAACGTTGAAGAGTCAATATGAAAAAAATTTGGACGCGTTTGCGCCATATTACTATGACGACGAGAATCATATTGACTCACTGACGCCATTGATATGACGCGACGATGGCTGCCGAAGGAATTGACTAAGGAATTGTTTTTTTTTAGTACAAATAAAATACAAATGTTTGTTTTGAATTTTTTAAATAAATAATATAACAATTATTGAATTAGGTTTTTGCACAATATGAAGAATCATCGAGCCCTCAGTTTGCCGTTATCAACCTCAGCCTTCGGCTTCGGTTGATAACGGCAAACGTCGAGCTTGCATAATTCTTCATATCGTGCTCAACCTTTTTCAATAATTGTTAAATATTATACGGACCTTAAATTAATGCAACGCGGCGACAACAGCCAAAACAAACTCAAATAAATTATTTGCGAAAATAGGTTGTCGTGTATTGTCGATGGTGTGAGTTTAACAGTTTAAGCGGAACATTTTATGATTTGGACATAAATTTCTGAGGCCGGTTGTAAAAAATTCTTAATCACTTTTTTAATCACTATTTTGTAGTTAAATAGTGATTAATTCTCAAATAGGCGCTTCTTATTGGATGACGTTTGCACTTAATTATAGTTAACTTTAATCACTTTTTTATACAACCTGCCCCTGGACAATAATTATTTGTTGAAAAACAAAGACTATCTGACTTGAATAAAACACTATATTCACAAAAACCATCTCGTTATTGCTGGTTCAAGGCCAGACCTTTGATATTTAAAGTACAGCAGTAGCAAAGAGGCGTTTTCTATCTAGCCAAAACACACTTACCCTGGATTCCAGAGCCTTCGACAGTAAATAATAAATTGAAATGTCGCGAAGGCTCTGGTTCAACGGGGCGATTCTTTGATTAAGCCGAGCCAATCACAAAACAGAATTAGTGGTTTTAGTACAGATTCTGTACTAAAACCACTAATTCTGTTTTGTGATTGGCGCGGCTTAATCAAAGAATCGCCCCGTTGAACCAGAGCCTTCGCGACATTTCAATTTATTATATACTGTCGAAGGCTCTGGAATCCAGGCGAGTTTCTGCTTATTTTTTAAGGTAGTAATATAGTCATATGTCAACTACATGAGCAGAGTATGATGTTCCAGCATAGTCTCCAGGATAAAATGGATGAATAGAATCATTTGACAAAAATGTGCAAATAGATGATAATCATCTATCTAGGGGAAACTTAATCTAACCCAACTCTAATCTTAATCTGACACTAATCTAAACTTGATGACCTTTATTTTAAAACGTCTCTGAAAAATCCGGACTTGTCTTTGAGAAAACCCGGACTCGAAATAGCAAAAAAACCATAGATATCTCATATACACTAGATAGCGCATCTCGGAATACAAAACTGAAGCCAAAAATCTCAGCGGTTTCCCCCATGAAAATAGGCGGCGGCCATATTGGTCGTTCCCACCACTGATCTGAAATAAGACTGGATAACGCATCTATAGTATACAAAAGTGAAGCCGGAAGTCACCGGCCGCCACCCGATTCTGGGGCCCCACTTTTGTATAGATTTGTATTACAGACGGTAGTTTTTCGCGTTTTTTGCCTTGGCTACGTTTCCGATCGGGCCAATTTTACAATCACAACGATAGAAGCATACAAGAAGAATTTGGAGCAAAAAATTTGGAGTATTATGGCTTTATAACGCCGCGAAACGGGATTTACAACTCTGAAGGAGTGGAGAGCCTCAGACTTTGTTTATCAACACGAGCTCGTTTTGCTACTTTCATACAAAATCAACTTAAAATATACAAGAATTATTGTTACTGGACGAATATTCTCACGAAATTTGAAGAAATGAAGCAGCTACATTGTGAACGAAGCGTACAGAGGTTAGTTTTAAAATACCTTGAGGCAACTTCCATAATTATATGAACTAAATTAACATATTGAGTCGTTGTTTATAATTTGGATTAAAAATATTTCATTGTCACTTGTCTTCCTACTTTAAAACATATAAAACTTCTCGACAAGTCGCCTAGGAATGCTTTTGACAAAATTGACATTTACATGTAAAACTGTTCCTTATTAAATTCGTATAATTATAAAAGTAGCCTCAAGGTATTTTAAAACTAACCTCAGTACGCTTTCGTTCACAATGTAGCTGCTTCATTTCTTCAAGTTTCCTGAGAATATTCGTCCAGTAAACAGTAATTCTTGTGTATTTTTAAGTTGATTTTGTATGAAAGTAGCAAACGAGCTCGTGTTGATAAACAAAGTCTAACCTCTGTACGCTTTCGTTCACAATGTAGCTGCTTCACTTCTTCAAATTTCGTGAGAATATTCGTCCTGTAACAATAATTATTGTATATTTTGAGTTGATTTTGTATGAAAGTAGCAAAACGAGCTCGTGTTGATAAACAAAGTCTGATAGCTCTCCACTCCTTCAGAGTTGTAAATCCCGTTTCGCGGCGTTATAAAGCCATAACACTCCAAATTTTTTGCTCAAAATTCTTCTTGTATGCTTCTATCGTTGTGATTGTAAAATTGGCCCGATCGGAAACGTAGCCAAGGCAAAAAACGCGAAAAACTACCGTCTGTAATACAAATCTATACAAAAGTGGGGCCCCAGAATCGGGTGGCGGCCGGTGACCTCCGGCTTCACTTTTGTATACTATAGATGCGTTATCCAGTCTTATTTCAGATCA